CTCGCTCTAGCCCAGGCAACACAGTGAGACTCTGTCTCAAAAAAAAAAAAAAAAAAAGTCATTAAGGAGTTCATACCCTTGTACTCAATACTTCCATTTTGGCAAAGCTATCCTAGGGAAGTAGAAACATGTACAAAGATTTATTTGCAAAAGTGAAGTGAAAAATTAAAAGCAACATTGTGTAAAAATAGGAGAATGGTTACATGTGATATGTTATACATCAATTAAGAAGAATGTTGAGGACGGGCGCAGTGGCTCACACCAGTAATCCTACCATCTTGAGAGACCAAAGCAGGAGAATCACTTAAGGCCAGGAGTTCGAGATCAGCCCGAGCAAGAGACTCCATCTCTATAAAAACATAGAAAAATTAGCTAGGCATGGTGGTGCATGCCTATAGTCCTAGCTACTTGGGAAGCTGAGGCAGGAGGACCACTTGAGCCCAGGAATTTGAGGTTGCTGTGAGCTATGATGACGCCACTGCACTCTACCCTGAAAAAAAGAATGGTGAAGATGATGGCCTGGGAAGAGGCAGAGTGATGGAGTCGTTAAGAGTACAGGGTTACCCAGATCTGAATTTTAATCCTGAAGTTGGCACTTTGAGCTTTTGGGCAGCTTTAACACTGTAAACTTCATGGGAAAAGATGCCTTTATAATAGAGAGATCTGGCAGGGCGTCATCTTAACCAAGTGATTTAACCTAGCATCAGCCATAATAGGACCAAATGATATTATGTGCCTCCTGATGAGATGCAACAGTAAGGCCACAAACACTATCTATTTACTATTATTCCTAAAAATATGTAAACTGACACTAATCAGAACACATCCAGATTGCATGGAGTCCTGGAAGATATCTAGGGTCTTCAAAAAAAAATGTCAACATCATTTTTAAAAAGGACTTTTCTAGATCAAAGAAGACTAAGAGACAGGACAACCAAACACAATGTAGGATAAAGTGCCATATCAGCAACTTACTTTGAAGTAGTTCAGCAACAAAAGAACTATGTGTGTGTAGGTAGTCAGAGAGCAGAGAGCAAGCAAATGCAGAAAGGGTTAACAAGTGGTGAATTTATGTGAAATTGTAATATTTTCAATTGTTATGTAGGTTTGAAATTTTTTGAAATACAGGGTGGATAAAAACTAATTCTGTTTCCTCACTTGTAAAATCTTAGGACTGTAGACTAAATGAGATAGTACATATAAAGTGCCTAGAATATAGTAATTGTGCAAGAAGTGTTAACTACACATTTTCTTGTTAAGTATTTCTACCTCTCCACTTTGTAGCACATGGTAGGATTACAATTCCTCACCTTTTCTGAAGTTGGTGTTGCCACGTGGCTGGCTTGGCCAATGAAACAAACTATCTGTCACTTCCACATGGAGGCTCCCTTCCAGCTATGCTTCCATCCACGGGGAGCCTGTTGAGTTGAAGCCTTCAGCAGCCTGGGTTCCTGAGTCACCACGATGACTCTTCCTACTGATTCATGCTGGCTGCAGTACGAGCAAGACAAACCTGTGTTGCATTAAGCCAGTTAGCTTTAGGGACTATAATTGCAGCCCAACTAGGCCTAACTAACACAGAATCCACAAACTATGGCCCTCAGGTCAAATCCTGCTGGCCACTTATTTTTTGTAAATAAAATTTTACTGGGACACACCATGGTCAACATTTCTGTATTGCCTGTCGGTGCTTTCACACTACAATAGCAGAGCTGAGTGGTCACAACAGAGACCATAGGGGCTGCAAAGCCAAAAATATTTACCATCTGGCTCTTCACAGAAGTTTGCTTGCCCATGACCTAGTAAATCTTGACCGATACAATTAAATGTAAGATAAAGTGTGAAAAGAAATCAAACCATTCATAAAAGACAATTTTACACTAGCTTGGGCAAGTTAATATTTCTGTAATCACTTAGTTGTCTCCTATATAAAATGGGGGTAATAACCGTATCTACCTCATAAAGTTGCTGTGAGAATGAAATGAATTCTTGCATGTAAAATATTTACAACCAGCATCCAGAGGCTTGGAGGTGTGGTGGAGTAGCCAGAGTAAGGGGAGGGATGTGAACTGATAGATGTAAAACCATTAAGGCAAGCACCTAGTATACTGTAGGCATTCAATAAGTGTTTGCAATTTTTATTCCAATTACATACAAATAAGATCAATGGCTTCTTCAATGCTGAAATTTCTGTTACTATTTCCAACATATCACAAAACATCTTTTGTTGACATTCTACAAATGATACCATCCAATAGTGTCCCAATACATTCTTCTTGTGAAGAGAGTTTATATATCTGTAAAAACAAAAGACAAATTATGACTTGGTATATATTCATGCATGCATGCACTAATTTATATAGAAACATGTATAAGTGAAATTATTTATAATTCGATTATTGGGTTTATGTTCTGAAATCACAAACTACAAATGTGATTAAAATATTGAAACTGGACAGCAATTCATGATTTGTCAAATATTCACTTTAATCTACAGTTCTAGTGATAACTCTCTAAACATAAAAACCAAATTTGTATCAGTTTTAAAAGCACACATCCAGATATTAACTTCATACTATATTTATTTTGCATCTTAAATGTACACACTAAAGCTTGATATTTAAAAGGTATCCACTTTCTTTCTTTTTTTTTTTTTTAGAGACAGGGTCTCACTCTGTTGCCCAGGCTGAAGTGCACTGGCACCATCAGAGCTCAATGCAACCTTGAACTCCTGGGCTCAAGCAATTCTCCTGCCTCAGTCTCCCAAAGTGCTGGGTGACAAGCATAAGCCACTGCGCCTGGCCCTAGGATCCACTTTCTTAATTAAAGTGGAGAATGTTTTGTTAATAAGTTTGTAATTATTCATATATTTTACATAAACCTGTATCTCACAGTTCTGTGTGTGTGCGTGTGTGTGTGTGTGTGTGTGTGTACATACATTTTCAAATAATTTTAAAAACTTACAAACCTTTTTGACTTCTGTAATATTTGTTATTTCAGGAAGATTTCTCAGAGAAACCTGATGACCTTCTACCTGAGATATTAGGTATTCTTGATTTATTTGTTTTTCTCCCTCTTCAATGTAAACAATTAGAACTGAGGTGTCATTGGCTGAGATACCAAATTTTTTCAAAGCCTCAGAAATCTAAGAAAAAGTACAAAACAACAAAAGACAATTAACCAGTGTTTCCTATGTGCGAAACATCTCCTGATCTACCCTCTTCCTTGGTCAGGTTCCTATTTCTCATATCCTAATAGTTTTCTCTGCCTAGTTTTTCCCTTCAGTAATCCTTTTCCATCATCTACTGGTCCTGCCTCTAAAGTACTCTGTCGTTAAAGCTGCACCTTGTTCCTACAGAATCAAGGCCAGACTTGTTGATGGCACAAAAGCACCCCTCCCCCTGGCCCTAAGTGACCCTCCAGCCAGGCACTCCTGTCTCCTGGCCAGTCTGGACTGCTTGGGGATCCTGTCACATTTCATGCCATTCTGCCTGTGCACACGCTTTGTCCTCTGCCCCGAAGGTCTTTCTCCCCACCGTTTGGCTGCTGAACACCGTGCTTCAAGGTCCACAGTTCAAATGCCACTCCCCACCACACCCTCCTGCCTCCAGAATGAATGGTTTCTTTGCCTTTCCTAAATTTGAATTTCTATTCCTATATATCGTTTGACCTAGGGCATTTTAACTTTTGTCGTTTCTCTGCCTCTTCATGGGAACATATTTGCTTTTTCTGCCCCTAGAATCGTAACTGGAACAGGGACGAGTTCAATAGATGTTCATTGAATTCAATAGTTTCTTGAATTATTTCAAATGATCTCAAAGAAATAATAATTATCTGGTAAATTTTATTCCAGATACTGGGGAATTATATTACCATGCTGAAATAACTGCAATTCATAAACTTTTCAATCAAGTATATTTTAAACTATGCCATAGGCTTCCTAATTTTTCTCCTGATGATATTAGTACTTGGTTATTAATAGTAGTATAAATACTAGAACTTTATCTGAAAAATTTCAGTCATTTTTTCGTGTGCTATATGTGGGACATCTTTAGCTCAATTACCTTGTGAGGAAGCACTACTGTGAGTATTTCAAATCACAAGCTCTTACTATGCACTGGATATGTGAATGAGGATGCGTCAAGGGCTGTAATAGATTTGAGAAAGTTCCTGGTATATGGAAAAGACACAGATCCTACCCTCAAAGAGTTTGCAGGGAGAGTGAAAGATGTGCATGCTAACACACAAAATACCCATGCCTAATGTTTTATCAGTTAGGTTTCTATCAGCTTCTTAAGCAAAAATACTTGAGGGATCTTCCTGACCCTATATGATAAGAAGTACAGATAAAACTAGCCTTACTTAATTTAGCTAAACTATTGTTTACTCACATGTAAAATGACTATCTAGTGAGCCAGCGCTAAACCTCAACTCTCAGTCCAAAGCCCTCTTCACTATTATTTTGGTTTATCACTAACCACTAGATTGCAGGAATTTAGCTTCCAACCCAACATTGGAGAAGATATGTTATTATGACAAGGTCATCAGAAATAAAGTCAGTCAATTCCACATTACATTGTTATTTGGGGAAAGGTTGAAAATAATTTCAGTAGATAGAGTTCTTGTCTTCATTTTTCCCAGTCTGTAGAGGTGAACTGCTTTGTTTGCTGCCACAAGTATCTGAAATGGATCAACAATCTACCAAAGAGAGAAAAACAAATTACACACATAAAATCTGAAGACACATGTCCTATCTCATGGTAACTTCAATGTCGAGCTCTTTTATTTCATCACAGTTCCTATGGACTATATTTTCAAACCTATTATCTCAAGGGCACAGGTAGTCAGAAAACTATAGGATTTTAAAGTTGCAAGGAACTTACATAAATAGAAAAAATTTTTTAAAATAACATTTATTTAGGGCTGATATTATGGGAAATGCCATTAAACATTTCTCTTGTATTATTTTCTTTAATCCTCAAAACTACCCTATGAAATTGATATTATTATTATTCGTATGTAACAGATGAAGAAACCAAAGCAAAGAATGTCCAGGTTCGAATCCCAGCTCTGTCACCTACCACCAGGCATTTGCCATTTCGTCAGAGCCACATCACAACCTTTTCCCATTTCCTAGGGCAGGGCCTGGCACTTCTGCCTCCATTCACCATTAAATTCATGGTTGGTCATGTCTGACTTGGACAAGAATGTTTACCTGATAATGACAGAATTTTAGGCTGACCTATAACATCACAAAAAATTAACATATTCTTAAATGTCCGGTAGGGCTCATTCATTCTCACACTTTGTACTTACCACTGTTGGATTTATCAATGAGCCATCAATGGTGCCTTCCATGGCCTTTTTCCTCAAGTCTCCTGCATTTTTTACATCTTTAAATAACAGGAGGGTCACCCTGCATTCGGGAAATAGGTCCAGCTGATGTGTTAACTGCATTTCAGAGAGAAGCAGGATTCTATTGCATGAAACCAAAAAGACCAATAGATTTCTTTTGTTTAAAAGTTAACATTATGATTCATTTCTTAATAAATATTCTTGCTAACAAATAAATGAAAATAACTTTAGTAAGATGATACAACTATTAAACTAGAGAAATCCATCCCCAAAACACATTTGACATCCTGGAGAGATGCTGTCTTCCCTACCCTGCTGAGCTGTTTCTAGTTCCTTTGTCATTCCTGGGGAAAAGCCAAGGGAGCTAGCTGGTCCCGTTTGCTCAGACAGGGCAGGCTCAGATATATGGTGAAGAAGCAGAATGCCAGGAATTTAGGGACCACAGGTTCATTATGGTATTAATGAAACCTTACTCCAGCTTAGCCTTTTTAACTTTCTGATCTCACCATTTTATTTTAGCAGGACCCAAACACAAATATTAGGAAGAAAATAATTTTAAAGAATAAAATATCACACTTGATGCAAAGATATTCATTCTACACATGGAAACTAAGCATAGAAGGTATAATTATTAAATAATCAATAACACTGGCCCTTCCTTAGATATGAGCTTAACAAGAAAAGGACAGGAGTATATATAAAGACATAAAAGCACATAAAAGACAACTTGAATAGCTACCAGCCAATTGTGGTGGCTCACACCCATAATCCTGGCACTTTGGGAGGCCCAAGTGGGGGCATTGCTTGAGTCCAGGAGTTTGAGACCAGCAGGGCAACATAGCGAGACCCCGTCTCTATAAAAAAAATTTCAAAGATTAGCTGGGCAGGCACCTGTAGTCCCAGCTACTTGGGAGGCTGAGGCAGGAAAATCACTGGAGCCTATGAGTTTGAGGTTGCAGTGACCTGTGAGCATGCCACTGTACTCCTATACTCCAGCCTGGATGACAGAGTTAAACCCTGTCTCTAAAAAAAAAAGAAAAGAAACACACACATAAATTGAACAACTAGAAAGATACAACTATATCCTTGAACAAACTGTGTATTGCAAAAATTAAAAATTTGATTGGGGGGGGTATCTCTGTTTCCCAGGTAGAGTACAGTGGTGCAATCATTGCTCACTGTAACCTCAAACTCCCAGGCTCCGCCTCCCAAGTAGCTGGGACCACAGGCACATGCCATCACACCTGGGTAAGTTTTCTATTTTATGTAGAGATGTTGTCTCACTATTTTGCTCAGGCTGGTCTCGAACTCCTGGCCTCAAGTGATCCTCCTGCCTTGGCCTCCCAGAGTGCTAGGATTATAGGGGAAAGCCATCAGGTGGGGCCTAAAACTTGATCTTTAAAACAATTTCAGGCCGGGCACGGTGGCTCACGCCTGTAATCCTAGCTCTCTGGGAGGCTGAGGCAGGAGGATCGCTTGAGCCCAGGAGTTTGAGGTTGCTGTGAGCTAGGATGACGCCACGGCACTCTAGCCCGGGCAACACAGTGAGACTCTGTCTCAAAAAAAAAAAAAAAAACAATTTCAGTCGAAGTCTTGAGATAGTTTGGTGGGGCAATTTGATAGGTTTTATTTTATTCTTTTACCTGGTTGTTTCCATTTCTGGAGCTCTTTCTCAAGGAATTAATTGGCAATCCAAAGATTATATAATGTGTCCCTCTCATCATTTTAACAGTGAAAAGTTGAAAACAACCTATCTAGCCAATAACAAGATTGGTTGTGACTAGACAACTATTAAAACTGTGGTCTTGAGGACGTGTGAAAACAGCAATAAATGACTTTAAGTAAAAATACGTGATTGGGCCAGGCGCGGTGGCTCATGCCTGTAATCCTAGCACTCTAGGAGGCCAAGGTGGGAGGATGGCTTGAGCTCAGGAGCTCCAGACCAGCCTGAGCAAGGGCGAGACTCCGTCTCTACTAAAAATAGGAAAAAAGAAAAAAAAAAAAATTATCCGGGCATGGTGATGTGTGCCTGTAATCACACCTACTCGGGAGGCTGAGGCAGGAGGATCGCTTGAGCCCGGGAGTTTGAGGTTGCAGTGAGCTAGGCTGACGCCACGGCACTCTAGCCCAGGTGACAGAGCGTTAATCCGTCTGAAACTCCCCCAAAAAAATCCATATCTGAATGGAAAACAAAACATAAAATGTGGTCAAACTGTGGGGTTTTCAAAAAGCTGCCTGTTAAAAAAGTTCGTAAGTTATCTCTGGATTGGTGGATTTACATCTGACTTTTTCGGTTACAAACACAAACAAAAAATTTGTGAATAATGTCCTGGTACATAGGTAGTTCAATCTTCAGTCACGCTAAGGTCCAATGAAAAAAAAAGGATACAAAAAGATATAGTCAGTAAGATTCCCATTACATTAAAAGATGCACATATTCATAAAGACCTGAATTCTTACCTCCCAAATATAATTTTGATCTGTCCACTCTTCTTCCATACCCTAAGCCACCACCTCTCACCTACAGCAGTAGCCTCCTAAGAGAGTTCTCCTCACAATTCCTGCCCTGTGGGAATGTCCACCCGCCGTCATAGAGATCCCTTCAAAATGTAAATAAGATCTTGTCATTCTGCTGCTCTTATGATAAAGCCCTAAATTGTGTCACCGTATTCCATACTCTACGATCCAGTCCCTGCCTGCCTCTTTTGCCACGGCCGCAATGTCCCTCTCTAGGCTTCAAGTCACCAAGCTTTCTCTCCGACTCTGCCTTCTCGAACGGGTAGTTCCGCTGACTCTCCCCTCTCATCTCTGCCAGGCTCATTCCTCCCTCCCGTCGACTCCATTTGCAGTCTGTTTACTAGAGCGTCCTGGGCCACGGGACTAGCTCCTTCTGAGTTCTAAGCACAACTTAAATGAATCATTCGCCTATCAGTTTTATGTTTACTCATTAACTATATTTCTCGAGGGGAGGAGGCTGACCTCGGTAGGCGCTTGATAAATATCGGCTGAGGGAACCACAGGCATTGCCCAGGAAAACTGTTAAACCTGCCCTGGCTCGGGCCCGCCTGCCAGGCCAGACAGCTAGTAAGCTGGGTGAACTCACCGTCCGGGCCGCGGCGCGTTTCGGAAGCGCTCCCCCTCGGAAACAAAGCCCTCAAATTCCGGAACTGGTGCCCGATCTTCGCCCTCCCAGGGTCCACTTCCGGGTAGGCAGGCCCGGGGTCTCGGTATCTTCCGGGGTACTAGCGGGAGGGAGGCACCCGGCCGTCGTCGCCCCACCTACTCCTCCGCTGGCCCCGCCTCCTAAGCTTAAATCCCGTTGCGGACGCGAAGGAGAACAAGGGATACTTGTCACTTCCGGCGAAGGAGGCGGAAAGGATCTACGGCCCGGAACCGGAAAGTGACATCTGGTTTTGAGTCTCGGCTTTGTCTTAACCGGTTGGGCCTTGCAAAGAGGCGTCTTTGGTTTCTTCCTGTGCTAAGACAAGTATTTACCAAGATGTGCTCTACGTACGTTTCCGATGCCCGAGAGTCCTCAGTTCTTTTTCAGGATAGGCGGGATTCACTTTGCCTCGTGCTCTCGCAGCGATCATTTGAGGAGAATTCCCTGGAGCCGACCGCGCTCGGTGATCTTATTCGGTTATTTAAGAGACAGAGTGGCAACCTCTTCCTTCACCTACAGCAGGCTCAGTAATTTGATTCGCCATCCCTGAACGTGTCAGCCTCCCGGTGAGGAGGTAGTCCCCTAAACGGCTGTAAATTACTTTGCATGTTCTTTGTGGTTTGGGCTCATCTTTATCAATACTTTTCTTTATGGGAAGACAGGCAAATAAATATAGGTGTCGAATGGATACGTGCTATGGAGAAAAACAGAGAAAACAGCAAGGATGCCAGGCTGCTGGTATTACTATTTTAAATAGGATGATTAAGAAAGATCTCACCAAAAAGGACCAGCTGAACAGTGACTGGAGGTCTGGAAGCAAGCTGTGTGTGTATCTGAGAGCGCAGCATTCCATACAACAAAGAAAGCTCAAAAGTTCTGAGACAGGTGTGGCCTTAGCCTATTTAAGGAATAGCAAAGAGAACAATGTGGCTTGAGTACAGTGGAGATGTATATTTATATACGTTTTATTTGTATTTTAAATTTTATTCTGACAAAAAAACTGGTATCCAGATACAGATGACATATTTAAACAGATACTTCACAAAAGATACACAAAAGGCAAAATAAATAAAAGATGCTTAACATCATTAGTCATTGGAGAAATGCAAATTAAAAACACAATGAGATGCTACATACCCATATGATGTCTTACATTTAAAAGACTGACAATATCAAGTGTTGTCAAAGATGCAGAACTGGAATCCTCATTTATTACTGTTCTAAATGTAAAATGGTATAACCACTTTGGAAAAAAATTTCAGTTTCTTTAAAAAAGGTTAAACATATACTTACCAGCAGTTTCACTCCCAGGAAAAATGAAACATATCCACACAAAGGTTTGTGTGAAGCAGGTTCACTGTGCACTGGTTAGCAACTTGTCTGAGTCCAGAAAAACAACACCCATGCACACAACTACGGATAGGCATCGAGACACAACAGAGACTGGAATTCATTGCCAGCTGGTCTCCTAAGGCTCAGGAAAGCTGCCAGGGTGTGGAGTCTTGTCCCCACTTGCACCACAGCTGAAGGATCCAGAAAGCAGCCCTCCCTTGGTTTTATACCCCAGAGGGGCTACATGACACACTGGGCTAAAGCATTGAAGGACATACTGTTTCTAGGGTGTACTGGAACAGAGATTGAGCTGTTCTGGGCAGTCCCTCTTTATTGTGGGATGTTGCATTTCCAGCACATTCTAGTTATTCTTGAGAACCACAAACAAGAAAGGGGGAAGAACTAGTTGGTCCAAGGCCACCTGGGGAACTGCCCTACTGTCCACCCCCTAACCTAGTTATCCCCCTTAACAAAGCTAGTTCATTTCATATGCCCACAGACCCCCAGATCCAGAGGCAAGGTTTGTCTTGTCAGATCAGTGTAACACCTTGACTGACACAATCTCAGTGCAACATTTTTGAGCCATAGCCAGAATACATTTCACTAGGCCCAGGAGGACCACGACCACAAACAGGATGATCAGGCCTGCCTGGAGCAGCAACCTAGCCCAGGATCCCAGTGATCCAGGTAAGATGTTGCTGAAGAGGTCAAAAAGGATTCTTCAGGTGGTCCCAATGTCTGCAGCCAGTGAGTTTGCTTCCAGATCTCCTCAACTTATGTTTCTACAATATGTGAGGTGTTCATCTAGGTATAGCAGGAGCTGTTGGCAATTGAACACACTCCTCCCAGTTGTGTAAATGGAAATCTAGAGCAATTCCCTTGTTTAAAACAATCTTCCCAAGGTGGGCGAGGGATGTTTGCAGGACTGCCAAGGCGGTGGCAGTGGAGGAAGCAATGTCTCCCATGGTCAGGGACAGATTTCTTATTTTTCATGAGCACCGACTCCCATGTATGGTATATCAAGGATCTCATAAAGGACATAAACCCAGAGTCAGTTACACCTCCTGGCAGGTCTCTTGTAAGCCTGGTATAGACTTCAGGCTGCTGGCCCACTGGTGTGTCTAATTTCCAGGGGTGATATCTAGGGACACCCCTAGTGTGCCCAATGTGCAGGATCACACATTCACCAGCATTTCAAGCATGACATTGCCCATCCCCATATCTGGGTCACTTCCAGACTACCCAGAAAAAGATGTAGCCCTCAGGCGTACATAGCATCTCTTCCCCCATTTTATTATTCAGTAATCCATTCATGGGCATGGAGGCATTGGCTTTTGCCAGCCAAGTCTAAAATTAGTTATATAAACTCAGTTTTTCCCATTCAATATTGCTCACCAAGCCCCTACACAGAAAGCTAGCAATAGTCCGGTCCTTGTTTTTGTTGTCACCACTGGGATGTTTCTCATCCATGTAATCAAAGGAACATGGCGTGTCAAAAGTACCAGCCCACCGAGGTTTTGTTAGTTACAGTCATGATGTTTTGCCACCTTAGGCCAATAAAGTTAAAACAGGGCACCTCCAACTCCTTCCTATGTGGCAGGTGCCAGATCCTCATTTGGTAAGCCAGGGCTCAGGTTCTGTTGGTATACGCTATGGCCAGTTATCGCTGGCAGGATCAGAAGGCCACTGAAGACTAATGAGGTCCCAGATGGCAGATCCAGCATTTCATCAGGTTACCTTTGGTGGCCACAGCTTGGGAGAGCCTAACAAAGGCATTGTGTTTCCAGGCCTGTGCTGTCATGTCCTTGAGGAAAAAGCAGACTGACAGGCCAGGTGTGGTGGGTCATGCCTGTAATCCTAGCACTCTGGGAGGCTGAGGCAGGAGGATCGCTTGAGGTCAGTTGTTCGAGACGAGCCTCAGCAAGAGTGAGACTTGGTCTCTACTAAAAATAGAAAGAAATTAGCTGGACAACTAAAAATAGAAAAAATTAGCTGGGCGTGGTGGTGCACGCGTACAGTCCCGGCTACTCAGGAGGCTGAGGCATGAGTCCAGGAGTTTGAGATTGCTGTGAGCTAGGCTGATGCCATGGCACTCTAGCCCAGGAAACAGAGCAAGGCTCTGTCTCAAAAAAAAAAAAAAAAATCATCTTAGAAGTAAAGATGATCCCTCTACCTATAGCTGCAGGGGGAGAGATATCATTATGCATCATAAAATTAGTTCATACTCTGGTTTCTCTTCAGATCGGATACATCTTTCACCTTTTACTGAAGATTTCCGTGGAGAGGAACAACTCTGAGTCTTTGACCAATTTTTTGAGGCCTTGCACTTGCAGGATAAAAAAAGGAAAAAAAAAAAAGAAAGAAAGAAAATTAATTCAAAAGAGCTGATGTGATAAGGTGCTAAATTAGAACTTTCATATCAACTTTGTTCTCCTCTGCAATATAGAGACTTGCATAAATATACATGACTGTTACCATGTGTTTGAATGAATCTAACCTTGGAAGTATTATCTGAACAAATGAAAATAACCCCAAAAGTGAAACTTGTAATTCCTGTTAAATTGTTACCTTAGGTGTAACCGACATTCCTGCGTTCTTTTTTTTTTTTACTGTCACCCAGGCTGGAGCGCAGTGGCATGATCATAGCTCACTGTAATCTTGAAGGGATCCTCCCACCTCAGCCTCCAAGTAGCTGGGACTACAGGCACCACCACCACACTCAGCTACTATGTTCTTAAAGGTATAAATAGTTGTAAGATTTCAAAGTCATATCAGTAGAAGAGATCTGGTACTTCCCACTCTCATATGCATGGTTGAACAATTAAAATCTTATGACTGCAAGATTTTTAAACAAGCATCTGATTGTCTTTGCCTAGGTCCTCCAGAAAGCAGATAATCCCGAGGTAAGGATTAAACACTGGTATTTTACTTGGGTAATGTGAGGGTAAGGAAAAAGGTGAGTGAAGCAAGGAAGGATACAAAGCAATGTAACATAATGTGTTACCTCACTGGCAGGCTTCACAATGAGCCAGGAAGACACACAGGTTGTTTGGCAAGTGTGTACACTCGACAGGCCAGACCTTCTCTGGAAGGCTCAAAAAGCAAAACCATGGCTGCGAGTAATCTGCAGAAGGCAGGGGGAGGGCGCATTTGCTTGCCAGGCTCCCTCCTGTCCTGTGCGTTTCATTAATCATGGCCCTCCAGAGGAAGCTGACTCCTCCACACGTCTGGATCATCACCTCACCCTTCAGCTCAGAAAGCCAGATCCCACAGCCTATAGTGTAGCATTTCCTCCACCTCCAAAAGTGGAGGCACAGCTGAGAGAGGGTTTGAGGTGAGGGCCATAAGGACCATGCAGGCCCAGAATTGAACTTGGGCTCTAGTCAGTTCAGGGATCTCAATAAGGTTTGCAGGCAAAGGCCAAAAAGGGGACATGATGCATGAAAAATCAAGGTAACCAGACTGAGGACAAACCCCTCAAGAGCAATTTATTTGGCTATTAAATTCTCATTATGCTGGCTGGATTGCACTCATGCCTGTATCTCTACTGCCTACCCCAACCCCCCTAAAATGACAGTTAAGAAACTTTTAAAGATACAAACACACAAGAGAATGGGAAAGATGACAAATGGTAAATGAGAGATGGCAATAAAATTTTCAAAGATGGCAACTGTCAAGAATGGAGAAAAATAAAACCTAAATGTGTACAGCAGGGGGAAAGCAGACA